GAGACTTTTAATTTTCCTTGGATCCTCAGACATCACTTTCAAAAGGTGAAACAAAAATTCTCTGGTGAAATAAACTATTACAATTGAGCCTTTAAGTGGTCTGTTTTTCTTTAAATTATTAGCTCTGGATTAATATTTAGCTCTATTTTATCCTCCTTGGGATTATCCATACGGATTGCCAAGAATCCAGAGAAAATTAAAAGTCTCTGGTGAAATAAACTATTACAATGGTGCCTTAAAGTGGTCTGTTTTTCTTTAAATTATTAGCTCTGAATTAACATTTAGCTCTCAGGATTTCATCCTCATTGGGATTATCCATACGGATTTCAAAGATTTTCGTTACTTAACTATATATATATATATATATATATATATATATATATATATATGACATGAAAACTCTCCACCTATTTGCACAGGATCGCTTCGTCAGTGATGTTATGACTTGGGGTCATGACAAGTTTCGGGTCTTCCAACATCATACTTGTTCACCCAAGAGACCTTACCGAAACAGTACTATTCCAGCAGGCGATCCTGAAGCAAAAAATAAATAAATAAATAAATAAATAAAAATACGCCAAACACGCACCAATTGGAGTCGTTAAATAAATGCCACTGCTGACCAATCGTTAATGACTTACGTCACTTCCTCCTCAGCCAAAGACGATACAAATTAGAAAAGACAGCATGCACGTCTTTTCCACGCGGGACGATCCACATTCTCAACGAACAGTCTGACATAACAGGTAAGTGATGACAAGGAAAGTTACCTTTCATATGAAGTGTCATATATATATATATATTTATCGAGATTCTAGACAAAATTCAAAGAAGGAGCTCTAATGTAATCGTTCCTGGCTTGGCATCTCGACTTCAGTCAATTTCACACCTACGTGACCTAGCTTCTATTTTACAAATAGTTTTATGGTAGTTGTTGAGCTTTCCTCCTTCGTCTCCAAACTATTAGTTTGGTAATTAGGTCTGTTTTAAAGCTGAGCCAAGTGGATGCAACCGTATGTTCTATTGTAACAGTTTTTTTTCTCGTACTTATCGCCTGTGGTCCTCCCTGTCGATTTCTTGATTTCTGTTCACCTACAATCTTCAAAAATTTTAATGAAACGTTGAACAGAATTTTCTCTCTTCCTGATTCCAGTTCTGCTGTTTTTCCTTTCTTCTAACCTCTCCTTACTAAATTCTCATTCTCTTCCCCCCACCACTAACTCTGTGCGTCTTGGTGACATTATCGCCTTTATTGGAGTGGAAACACACACACACACACACACACATATATATATATATATATATATATATACTCTTCTTCTCCCTCCAGCTATGGGTAAATAGCAGGAAAGACTGGGTTCTATAGCCTTGGATGGCAACTGGTCTAGGAGAAGGACAACTGCGGAGGGTCGTTTGGGGACCTTGTGGCACGTAGTGCACCAGGTCTCTGTATTCGGCCCTTCAAAAACTGTGGATGGTCCAGCACGAAACCATCACCCCTATAATCAAATCTCATGTGCTGTTGTCGGGCTGTCGGTTTCCTAGGAACTGATCTGCTTGACCCTCATACGTCGAAGTCGACGGGAGAGTCGATTATATATATATATATATATATATATATATATATAAGTATATAATTGGTATATACGGAATATATTTTGTTGTTTTGCGCGTGAGTTTAAGACCACATTCACACACTTTAGAATAAAAAAATATATATACATGTATTGTCAAGTGACCGGATATATTGTAGCGTCTTGTCGAACGTAATTTCAACGAAGAAATAAATTGAATAACATATGTATTTTTTCTTTTCTCAATAATTTTGTAGTTTTTAAAATTAATAGTGTTAAAATTTGTTTTTTAAAATTGCCAGTTTTTAATTTTAATATTAAATTTTATTATATAATTTTATAATTATTGGTTAGTATAAATTATTTTAATATTACACGTATTTTAAAGATCTGAATAGCTATTATAACATGATTTCGTTGTCAAGCTTTTGAATCTTTCTATACTTGGTTTTTTTTGATTGGTTATTCTAGCTTTTGTAACAATGTTTCCCCCTAATGTAGGATCGTTAATTAATCTGAAACTTTTTAAAACCATTTATTTTATTTTCAACATCATCACTTGATAAGACACCGAGTTTGTTGAAACAAAATGGCTATTTTTGTAGTGATTTTATAACATACATATGTTATAATTTTTTTTTATAAATAATAATTATATATATATATATATATATATATATATATATATATATATATATAATACTTTTCTGTAAAATCACGATGAATTACGAAAAAAAAAAACTTTTATCGACAAAAACATTGCTTACATCTGGTAATTAATTTTTTGTGGTGAGGTAAACAGAATTTCCGAGAGCGACATTTACGGGTTAGGGATTTGTGTAATGATCCAATTAGTCAGTAGTTATTAATAGATAGAAGGAATAAAACTCTATTAATGAAACTATATATATATATATATATATATATATAAAATGATACTATTTAATGATACTATTAATATACGATAGAAGGAATAAAATACAATTAATGATGTATGTATAGCTGGACACTCGTATTCAAGGATACCCGTCTACTACGGCGGCTAGCAAATCCCTATTGCAGACGCGTGATCAGGCGCATTTGTGTTTGCCCAACACCAACAGAGCCCACCTGTAGTTTATACTGCAACTATAGTGGGCAGACCTTAGTTATAGTTTCTGGGAAAGAGCGTGTTATCAAGCGTGATCAACAATTTGAACAAGGCAAGCACGCTCAAGCCCTCGGCCACGATGACTTGTGACTTCGTGCTAGCAGAGCTATCGACGGCCCTCAAGAGTTCCACTACCCAATTTCAATTACCAGGCTTGGGTCAACCCGTGGTATGGTTTTCGATCACTTTGCAAAGGTGCCGAAACCTGGGATCGACAACCTCAGGAAGCCGGCTTTCTGACAAATCGACCATGGTGAGATTCGAACCCGGGTCTCATGGTCAGAAAGCAAGCCTTCTAACACACACACACGCATATATATATATATATATATATATATATATATATATATATATATATATATAACATTGGCCTTTTGGTAATAACGCTCACACACACATATACACACACACACACACACACACACAAAAAATCCTTATATACAATTATGTTGTTTTAATGTTAATATGTCAACGTCGGACGTTTCGGTCTAATAAACAATCTTCAGGACATATTCATAAAATATAATTAACATTATCAATTCAACATGACGTTGACATATTAACATTAAACAGCATAATTGTATATAAGGATTTTTGTTTGTTTTTTCCGTATATTTTTCTTCATACTGTCGGATCTATATCCATATACTTGCTTGCATATATATATACATATATAAATAAAAAGAAAGAACAGTAAGTTATATAATCCGGTGTTCTTATAGATATTTTTATTTTTACAAAATACTGCTCAATTTATATTTACAGAGCATTAATATTATAAATTAATTGATCAATTAATATATATATATATATATATATATATATATATATATATATATATATATATAATGTTAGTATTTAATGATACTATTAATATATGACAGAAGAAATGAAATACTATGAACGATAAGACAGAATATGGCCGTCAGTTGAAGACGGAAAAACAACAATATAAATGAAATAAATATTCAATTCGTTTTCATTCATTCTCAACCGTGTCTCTCTCTCTATATATATATATCTATATCAGGAAATAAACAAAGTCCGACAATTATTTTAAGACATTTTCATGTTTATACATTCTTTTTATAGATGCAAATATTTAAGTAAATGCTCTGTTTATAATAAACAGTATTAAACAACATTTACCGGCCTGAATGTCCGAGATATTTTCACAGAAAATATTCGTCCTCCGACAGTATACGAACCTGTATCGTATACGGAACCGTCATTTAGCTTGACGTGCCTTTAACCGATTTGGCCACAGAGGAGCGTTCGGTTAGAAAGGTTGAATTTACTGTATTTGAATTTCAATCTTCTATGAAACTCTCACGTACATTCATATCTGCTCATGGCGTATAAAATGTAAACAAATGACGTCACACATTATGAAATGGACAAAGTCCGACAATTATTTTAAGACATTTTTATGTTTATACATTCTTTTTACAGATATAAATATTTAAGTAAATGTTCTGTTTATAATAAACAGTATTAAACAAATTCAGAGGACGAATATTTTCTGTGAAAATTTCAGTCCGGTAAATGTTGTTTAATACTGTTTATTATAAACAGAGCATTTACTGAAATATTTGTATCTATAAAAAGAATGTTAAACATAAAAATGTCTTTAATAAATTGTCGGACTTTGTCCAATTCTTAATGTATTACGTCATTTGTTTACATTTGATACGCCATGAGCAGTTATGAATGTACGAGATTCATGGAAGATTGAAGTTTATAAGCAGTAAATTCGACCTTGCCTTCCGACCTTTGTGGCCGAGTCGGTTAAGGCACGTCAGCGTAAATGACGGTTCCGTATAGGATGCAGGTTCGAATCCTGTCAAAGGACGAATATTTTCTATGAAAATTTCTCGGACATTCAGGCCGGTAAATGTTATTTAATACTGTTTATTATAAAGAGAGCATTTACTGAAATATTTGTATCTATAAAAAGAATGTTAAACATAAAATTGTCTTAAAATATATCTATATCTATCTATATATGCATGTGTGTGTGTGTGTGAACAAAAGGAAAGAGTATATTGTCCTGTTCCTCTATTTGACTGTTTGTCATGAAGGACCAGGTTTCTGATGTAGGCGTTGTTTAAAACATGCTACGAGAAGATGATTTTCAATGCCGGTATATGCCTAATGACGGTATATGCCTTTCTCACCATGCATATTGGCGCAATATACTCTTCTCGGAATGATTTCCGCCCTTTTACACATAAACACACAAACACACACACACATACAATCTAGAAGTCTGGTAGATCATTACCAACAATTGGTGAGGCGATTCATCTATCTATGAGTGTTTTACTATCTATCTATCTATCTATCTATCTATCTATCTATCGCAGTCTGTTCCTATCTCTCTATCTATCTTTTAATAACTATTTCCGTCTATACATATCTATCTATCTATATCATTCTATTCTTATCTCTATATATTTCTATCTGTCTATTTTACTATCTATCTACGTCTGTTCGCATCTATGTTTGTTCTCATCTATCTATCTATCTCAGCCTATTCTTATCTCTCTCAGTCTGCCTGTCTGTCTATCTGTATATCTATCTATCTATCTATCTACCTTTGTACGTCTGTTCACATCTATGTTTCTTCTCATCTATCTATCTATCTCAGCCTATTCCTATATCTATCTATCTATCTATCTATCTATCTATCTATCTATCTATCTCAGTCTATTCATATCTATCTATTACAGCCTTTTAATATCTATTTCCGTCTATTCATATCTATCTATCTATCTATCTATCTATCTATCTCAGTCTATTCATATCTTTTTATCTATTACAGCCTTTTAATATCTATTTCCGTCTATTCATATCTATCTATCTATCTATCTATCTATCTCAGTCTATTCATATCTTTTTATCTATTACAGCCTTTTAATATCTATTTCCGTCTATTCATATCTATCTATCTATCTATCTATCTATCTATCTATCTATCTATCTATCTATCACAGCCTTTTAATATCTATTTCCGTATATTCATATGAAACTATCTATCTATCTATTATGAGGTATTTTAGTAGATTTTTTCGCGGCGTCAAAACGTGGAAGCCACTTTAAAATCTGGATGTATCTCGGAATATTTGTTGACATAATTTTTTTTCAGCGTAGAAATGCAGCAAACCCAGCCTCAAAATAAACGCTGTCATTAGAGCAAACTATATTCTATTTTATGCACGGAAAGCCTCCAGGTTCAGTCAATCAAATAAACGTCTCCATTCGCGTTCGGTCAACTCGCCATTCCCTTCTCTTCTTAACGTGGCGTTCCTTTGGCAACCACTGGCACCGTTACACGCCCATTTAATAATATTCAGTAGTCGGAAATAATGTCTGCAATTCCAAAGAGAATCAGACAGAATAGTCAACGAATTGTGAAGAGAAAATGTAAGGTCTTCGATTTTAAGCAGGCAGTTTCCTTCTGTGTCTGTACAGGCGCGATGACGAATGCCAGTACCTTCAACCTATGGAAGCGAAAGAACCAGTAGGTACCAAAATCTCACGCATAAAGTAGGGGTAAAATAAATTAGGGGTAAATTACAAAGACAACATATTGTAACTGCGATAAAATCTGAAATTCCATTGTCATCGTGATTTAAAAAAAAAAACTCGTACGAATTTGTTATCCAGTCAATGATGAAATTATACAGTCAATGACGAATTAATTCGTACATCCATCAATCTTGAATATTTTTATCTATTTTTCAGAATCTAATGTCCGTATGTAGCCAGTTTTTTTATATGTCAATAAGCACAAAATAAGGAATATAAAACTCAATTTTCAGAACAATGGGTTTAAATACAATAAATTTGATAGGCGAATTATTCAAAATAGGAAAAGACAAAATTATGAAAAATAGAAAAAATACATTAATAATCAGTAGCATCGCCTCTCATCTTTATAACTTGCTGCAATCATCTTCTAAAGTGTTTGATGAGAGTTGATAAAGTCTTTTCTTGAATTTTTCTTCCATTCGTCAATGGTTAGTCATTCTAATTCCTGATTGGTGATTGATGATTAATACGAACTTTCAATTCTTGCCATAGATTTTCAATAGGATTCAAGTCAGGACGTATTCAAATTCATGGCAGAACTGTAAACTTCTTTTACTGAAGCCTCGCAGTCACCGATTTAAACGTATGTCTGGGATCATTTACTTGCTGCAAATTAAATCGCTAGATGAAGATTTTGCGCTCATAGTTGTAGGTTTTCATTCAGAACTTTGATAGAGTCAATTTTGCATAATTTGCTTTGCCAAATTTGCTGTATTTAACCTATTGTTCTGAAAATTGAATTCTGTGCGTACTAAAACATAAAAAACTGTCATCATACGGGCATTAAATTCTGTGAAATGGATAAAAATATTGAAAATTGATGGGTGTATGAATAATTTTGTCGTTTACTGTAGTTATTTTACAATTGTTAAATTTCTCCGTTGCGGTTATGGAATTTTTTTTTTGCAAAACAAGTCTTTCCATATAAAGGGAGCTGACGAGCAGTATATATATATATATATATATATATATATATATATATATATATATATGTGTGTGTGTGTGTGTGTGTGTGTGTGTGTGTGTATCCGAAAACCCGGCCTTTTGGCTGGGATTTCTCATATTCTTTAAATATTAAGCCCAAGCCGAAGGAGCCCTTGAACACAGGCATTACATCTTCCCCAGGAGGGGCGGTGTTTATTTCCCAGGCCCCCACAAAACAGGAGGTGCCAAGGGGTCTTGGTAATTTTGCGTTGTATAGCACGCACCTCCATATATATATATATATATATATATATATATATATATATATATATAGTCCTAAAGAGCCAGGAAATCCTACCCAGGTTTCAGCTAAACGGATCTTCAGGGTAAGCTGGCTTAGCCTGAAGAACCGTTTGTGTGAAACCTAGATAGGTTTTCCTGGCGCTTTAGGGTTTATTTTAGTTATTCCCGCTCTACTTAGCGTATTGAGCAGTCTATGTTTTAATTTTACTACTCGCTTTTTTTTTCCTTTGAACTAAGACTTAAGGCACTGGACGATTTATTTCGCCTTGTTCGGGTGTTTTTAGTTTTTTCTTTTTTATTTCCAATATTTTCCTCGTGTACCGATTTATTTTGACATATGTACAAGTTTTTTTTACAGACGAGTATTACTATTAGTATACATATATATATATATATATATATATATATATATATATATATATATATGTGTGTGTGTGTGTGTGTGTGTGTGTGTGTGTGTGTGTGTGTGTGTGTGTGTTTGTGTGTGTGTACAGGGTTTGTAAAACTACACCTGTATATATACATATATACATGGTGTGCTTTTACAAACTTTGGCGACGGGTAAAACAAGGTAAAATGTTCATATAAACATATGTTCAAAAGGCCATGTAAAATGCGTTATTTGTGGTCAGGCGTCCGTTCTTCGTGGTCAGGCGTCCGTTCTTCGTGGTGCCACGCGTTATGTCTCAGCAACGATAAGCAGAAAGA